TCCTTCATCACCGTCTCCAGCACACGGGCACAAACACACTCACGCGTCCTCGTCATCGCTGAGGGACAAGATAATGACAGCAGGAGGATAAAGAGAGGAGCCCTGCTGAGTGAGGACACGCAGGGAAAAGCACAAGTGTGTGTGTGTGTGTGTGTGTGTGTGTGTTACTCGGCCGGGGTTCGGCGGGGGGTGTTACAGCTAAAGAAAACAGGAGAGGGTTTCACACGTTAGCGAGCTACACACACACACGCACACACACACACACACACACACACGCACACACACACACAGGGAGAAGCAGGAAGCTTTCCAACGTAGTTGAAGGATATTCGGCCATAAAACAAAAGAAGTCGCTGCCGATAATAAAATTCACACCAACCAGCTTGAAGCAACATCAGGTTGTTGCTCTAATTCATGTTTGCAACAATGGAAATTGATATGTTGGTTCAACCCCCCCGTCGCCCCTCACACACCAAAGCAGTAACAATAATTGCACGGCGTGTGTGTGTGTGTGTGTGTGTGTGTGTGTGTGTTTACAGGTGTGAAGGGATTAAATCTTTTAATTAGCTGCGCTGTTTTGAAAAGGGATCTGAAATCGCAACACAAACAAAATGGTGTCGCCCCCCCACCGACAAGCCAAACACACATTTACCCCCCTGGACTGACGGAGCGCTGTGACCCCCGTGGGGAGTTCGGGGGGGGGTGGGTGTTTATTTATTGATGGGGGCCGAGCGTCTCTCGGTCTTTGTGATGGCGGGATTCATAAATCCCGACCTGCTCTTATCGGGGCGAGTCGCGCTGTCAGCGGAGCGCCTGGACAGCACATTGTCGCAGCGCACGGCGAGGGGGGGGGGTTTGCCGTCCTGGTGAACAACGGCGAGCTCGCGCTCCACGCCGTCGAGGGGGGGTCCGGCTCAGCATTCTTTTCTTTAAGGTTTTTTATTACGATATGAATCATTCCGTTTAATGTTAAATAAATAGAAGAATCATCTGTGTCTGTTCTGGTGAGAAGTATCAGCAGGAAGCTTCACTTGCTGTGATTCAATCGATTCTGCAAAACATTTGCATCTGGTTTGGGGAAATGTGTTCGGATCCCCATTGGTAATAAAATAAACGGTTAAAAGTTGTTAAAGTGAGGTTTGTTAGAAGACTTTCTCAAGCGCAGCAGCATGAAAACAAGTTGGACGTCGGTTTCAGTGACAAAACGAAGTCATCCTGGTGAGGGATCGTTGGAAGGCCAGAAACAAAAAGCCCCCCGACTCATTCCTCATCCGCAGTGTGACACATGGAGTTTTCTAATGAACAGAATGAAAGAGGTAGAGGACTTCTGATGCCGTGAAACAGTCAATATTTAGAGCCGCATGGCCGCCGCCGGAGCGACACGGTCTGTCACGTGCACGACACGCCTCTGATGGTCAGAAGCAAAAGGGAGGAGAAATGACATCTGACTCTTACAGCCACGTCTCCCTGGGTTCTGACGGACACGTCGGGCGGGTCGGACGCTTCGTGCTGGCCTTGTGCCGCTGCACAGCGAGGAGGACTCTGATTAAACGAGTGTAGAAAGTGGGAGGCGGGCTGCTGCTTAGCATTGTCTGGCTGATTTAAAGATGGAAAACAAGTGATTGCTATGCAGCTCTGCTCCGCGCCGCTAACTCGTACACAAGGCCGCTCTCTGTTCTCCCTCTCTCCACCTCCAGATCTCTCTCTCTCTCTCTTTAATTCTCTAGCTTCGCCTCAGCAACTCACTCCTTGGCGCTGTGTTGCTACGCCTAAACAGAACCCCCCCCCCACCCCCCCCCCTCCATCCTTGTGTCCGTCCGGATCATTTCTCCAGCCTCTCTGATGTCATTAATTATGAATAAACAGGTATAGAACCTGGATGGATGGTTCCCCGTTAGGCCGTCCCTCTCCAAATCAAGCCCCGCCCCTTCCCTCTTAAGACATCCCCTTTACCCGTCCCCCCCCAGCTCAGTTACCGTGCCGACAGTCCCAAATTGAATTGAAGTGGGTGTGATAAACCGGGGGGGGCAGTGCTAGTATGCATTTTATACCTTTGATATTCACATGTATGTAAAAGGACATTTGTAGGCCAGCGAGTGAATGTGAGGAGGGGGGTGGAGGGGGGAACGGGGACTTTATCCACAAATAAGAAGCAATTTGGAACAAGAATATTGTCTGTTTTATTTGTAGAGTCAGTTTTTATTATAAAAGTAGAAAAGAAGCTGTTATGCAAATGCCTCATCAGAACAAATCTTGACTTGAATGTCTCATCTTCACAAAAGATCTTCATTCAACTGTCTTATTGTCACAGAAGATGCTTCTCGTTGCAAACATTCGTCAAAGGGAAGCGACTGTGCTTTTTCCAAAGTTCATTGTAACCAATAACAACCATTTCTAGTAGCATCATGCCATCAACAGTCTTTGCTAATTGTTGGATGAAATTATTCATTTTTTAGTGGAACTCAAGTTACTTTACTCGCTGATCTTTTATGTTAACGTGGTAAAAAACTCACCCAACTTATCAAATTAAGTTTTTTTTACAAAGACCTAAAGACCAAAGAGGGCCGAGTGACTTATTGGTATCTCTTTGCAGACCACTCTCGGGTGATAACGAGGAAAAAATGCACTCGGCTTTTTAACAGGAACGTTAATTGGCAGATGGAAAAATAGCTCCGCAGTTTGATCCTGAAGCTTAATAAGTTACAAAGCCGTTTCCAAACCAAACATATGCAATTTACATTTATATCGACTAATGAGTAAAAAAAAAAAAAGATACGCCGTCGGAATATAAATCAGAGCGTTGCTGCACATCCAGCATGTGTTTGTGTTTCTGGTGAGATGGTAACAGTCAAATGTGGCTTTAAAACATGTAGTTACTTACTGAATCAGCCTCAAGCACACACGCACACACACACGCACACACACACGCGCACACACACACACGCACACGGTTACGTGATGCTGTGAAGGGCGTCTCCTCAGAGATGCTCACCTCACGGGACTCAGTCTATACGTTCTGTGGCGTGTCGACAACTAGCCAGTCAGCACAAACACATGTCAAACTGCGAGAGACCCACTTTACAGAGCATGATCCGTGACAGGGCGAAGGCGCCTTGGGGTGCAGGAGGCCAGAGGGCCTCAGCTTTTGGAGTTCTAACGACCGGTCCCACAGTACACCAGGCGGCAAACCTCTTCAGGAATATTACAATCAGGATTATTTCTGCAGTAACTGTAGACGTGGAAAGTCAGAGATTTAGTCCAAGAGGTTCAGGAGCTTCAGGCAGTGTAATACAATAGTGTGTGTGTGTGTGTGTGTGTGTGTGTGTGTGTGTGTGTGCGCGCATGGTGGGGGGGGGGGGGTCAAAGTGACAAACTGTGTGTCACATTACCGAAGAGTACAACTACAGAAGCTGAACCGGTGCATAACGGACCCTGCTGTACTGGGGCCACATATAGTCCAGCTATCACCTCACATACGAAGACCTCCACTGATATAATAATATATATAATAACCGAGGTCGTCGAATTGGAGACGTAAACATTTACTAGAGCGGTTTTATCCTGGTTCATCACCTGAGGGAAAGGTGAGCACGTACGAGCTTTACAAGCCGTGGAGCTGCGAGTCTTTGAAGAAGAGGAAGAGATACAGAACTAATTGTCTCCTTTACTTCTCAGCGTTGCGTCGTTGCCTCTCGCTTCGGCATAAAATGTAAAAGAAAATAAAAGATATGAGGAGTTTGGTTATGAGAATTTCAAATACATTTGTGTACACTTGTTTACGACACACAGAAATAAAGCGTGTGAGCAAAAAGGCGGCTGCAGAAAATAGATCTTGTTGACAAGCTGTCCTTTGTCTTAACCTAATAATGTCATTCTGCATCCAAGGTAATATTCCCGTCTTGTGTAAAACAAAGCTCCTGCCTGCAGTATCTCTGGCTCATGAGCTCCGTATCAGCTTTACAAAAAGACAGACGCTAATAAAAGGTCTGCTTAGAGACACCGGACGCTGCTGCGTTGTTGTTGTTGTGGTCCCAGTTATTGTTCACACACATACACACAGGCAGACTCAGGAAGCTATCGTAGCTAGGAGCTAACTCAGGACCACCGACCTGCTGCATGTCCGTCAAGTCGCTGAAGATCAGACGGATGACAAAAGACGTACGATCGACCCAGCTCCGTGAGGGCGGAGACTGTTAAGACCCCATCATGACACCTGGCTCCATCATGGCCCCACAATGTAGAGCTGAACCGCTAACCGGTGCTAACGTGCTCATTACTGACGCTCACTGCTCGTTTTGACATTTCTAGGTTTTTTCCGGGAAAACATTGGATTATGAGTCAGAAGAGTTTAAGGTGCCAACGCTTTAATAACTTCACGAATGCCCCCATGAGTGTGACTATTTAACACTATTACGAGATGGAGAGAGTCACTGAGTGATGCCCAAGTTGCTCCGCCCTCCACAGGCCCCTCCTCTCCTCTCATTGGCTGCCTGTGAGATTCTAAACCTGCTGTAGCAGCGGTTGGACACTGCTCTCAGCCAATGACGAAAGAGCAACTGTTGCATTCACTACCGCCCCCAAAACACGCGCAGGGCTCGTTGTGCTGCAGCCTCTCGGTCTGAAGCAATGAGCAGCATCACAGCTTCAATAAAAATAACAAAAATTCTCTATTACATAAAAAAAACAACTTACTCAGCAGAAGTTTTTTTTTTTTTTTTTAACAACCATCAGGAAAAAAATCTTGCCAATAAAGTGATTATTAAAATATCTAATTTCACTTGATATTATTCATATTCCGTATCCTCACAGTCCCAGGATGCAACATTTAAATACCACCCATAAGACAAAACGTTATATGATTACTATAACAAGCCCGGAATATGCAGGCAGAAGATAAATTACTGTAGTTTCCAACGCCCTCCATCGGCCGCAACGTCCCTCCGTGTCCCTCCCTCCGCCTCCCCCATCCCTCCCCCTCTCCCGTTGCTGCTGCGCGCTCGTTCTGTTCCCCTCACACCGCTCCCGAAGCTCTTGGAGAGAGGACGGATAAACGGCTCTGACGGGAACGGATTTTGATACCCGAAGGAGGGAGGGATGCTCCGGTGATTTCCCTCTTTCCCCACCAGCTCCACCAGCTCTCTCACCACCATCCCCTCTCCTCTTCGTCACTTCAATCTCGGAATCGAGACGCGCTGCTGTCATTTATTTTTTCATCATCTTTGAGCCCTGCTTCTTTTTTTTCTTCTTCTTCTTCTGCTTCTTTTTTTTGCCCCTGCGCTCCAGAAAGAACATTTGGGGTTTGGTTTTTCTTCGTGGTGCCCTCGTCTTCTCCAAGCAACCAGAAACACAGCTGGGTTTCCATCGGTGGATGGTGGACATCCGATGACAGAAGCCGTACTTGTTGAGAGAAGTGACCGTTTTCGGCTGGCTTGCATGTATCGGGGGGATTTCCTTGGAGAGGCGGAGTGCGCGCGGAGTGTCTCACTTCCAAGGTAAGGACCGAGTTAAAGGACTCCGCTTTCTGCGGCGCAGAGGCTTTTACCGGAGTGAAGTGTTCCGGTTCCCGGGATGCTGGGGAGATAGTGGGCTCACACACACACACACACACACACACACACACACACACCGTATGTCTATAAAACGGCCACTGTGAGAGGATGTCGGACCCCCTTATTTGTCTGCAAATGCGTAATCAGACAGGAGAAGCCCGCAGAGCCTTTGCGCATTGGCGACGGAGACGGTGCGCGGCGCAATCATTGCGCTGCTGGCTGAAGCCGCGCAGACTTTTCTCCGCTCACCATTTGTCACAAAAACAAAGCTTTGACTGATTTCCTTTCTTCTTCCGGCACAGTATCTATCTATCTTTTGTTTTGTCGCGTGTGCGTGCCTTCGTGTGCGTGTGTCTGGCCACGTAGAGACTAACCTCAGTGGTCTTTCTCTCCCTCTTCTCCCTCCCTCCCTCCCTCCCTCCCTCCGCCGCCTCGGTGCCTCTCCCGTTGTCTCCGCGTTACGGCGACGCACAACTTTTCTTTGGATCCCCGTCCGGCTCTGCGTGCGCGTGCGTGTGCGCGTCTCTGTCAGATCGCAGCATTCAAGTCAAAATAACAGCATCGCTTTCGTGACCACGTTTCCACAGAAAACCACGAGTGGTTACTTCTTGAAGCGACGGCTGGATCTGCGTCGGTCCGGCCGCGTCCCGTTTAGTGTTTGCTCGTTTTACGCCTCCGAGGAGCGGCTCCTGTTCTCGGCAGTCTTGACGTCGCCTCAGCGGACTGGAGATCCGCGCCAGCAGCCCTGAAACTGCACAAAAAAAACCCCGAACGCGTCGCTCCGGCGCGTTGTGCGCTGAATCGGGGCCGCGCGTCTGGTCCCGTCGCCGCTGCGGGGCCACATCACCTCCCCTCGGTCCCTTCGCAGGATGCGGGTGTATGGATTATTGCGCTGCCGCCGAGGCATTCTTTTTCACAGGGGAAGTAAGTTAGATAGTCAGGTGTTAAATGAAGCAGTCTTCAACGGGGGAGCAGAGGGGGAGAGACGGGGAGAGACGGGGAGAGGGGGGAGGCGTTGACTGAAGGGCTGTGCACCCTGTTGGTATTCACGGCACAACTCAAGATTGCTGCTCTCAAGCAGGCAATAATATCTCCCCCGCCTCTCCCTCTCCTCACCTCTCTCCCGCCGTCTCTCACACCCTGTTGCTCTGAACCCCCCCCCACTCTCCCCACCCACCTCCTCTGCATTTAATGTCTCTCCCACGCTCCTCTCTGCTCCTTCTCCCACCCTTCACGCCGGCTTAAAACCCCCTTCATTTTTGGGGGACCCCCGGAGTAAATATTTGCGGGTTATTGTATTTTATTCACAAGTGTTTTTTTTACGGGGGGGGGGGGGGGGCGCTGCTTTTTCCATTGTGTATTTAAAAATATATACATATTTCAACCACGCTGACGTAGCAGCTCCGGTTGGTTATGGGGGAGGAAATGTGAGGTCCTGAGTAGGAACCTCAGGTGAAACGCTGCATGTTTCTGATCTGTCGGCACTGAGCTGCATTTTGCTAATTAGCTTACAGAGCGGAGACATGGCAGAGGAAAATAAACTTCCCTTTGGTAGGACGAGTGTTCGTTGTGGTTCAGTGGCCACTCAGAAGACACATCAGAAGAAGAGAATGTTCTCCCCCCCCCCCCTCAAAGGGCTCCTTCTTTTTGTTGGTAAATAGCACCAAAGAAGAACTAATTTGTTCCGCAGCACGTTTGCGTGACTCACATATTTATTTCTCCAGCCAACAGTTGTTTCTTTCTCTCGGTCGGAGAAGAAGAAAGAAAGGGGTGGTGGAGAGGGGGGTCTCCCGCCGTTTTCCATCCCCGCCCTTTGGGAGCCACAGAGTCAAAGGTCCTTCTTCTTCTTTTTCTTTTTTTTTCATTTCCCTTGTATCCAGCCGTCTTCTGGTACGGATACCTCATTGTGGTATTTACAGGGGGGCTTGGATGACAGATGAAAGTAACCGGGGTGGGGGGGGGGGGGGTATCAGATATTTCACTGATGTTCAGCCAATAGCCAAGGTATCAGCAGCTGGCAGAGGAGACGGGATACAATTAAACGAGTGAAGAGACACAACCAGGCCAGGGACACACACACACACACACACACACACACGGTGATTCCAGGTCAGCTGTGCTCGCCTTCAGAACTTCTAAAAGGGTTCTGCTCCTCACAGTCAGAACCACGAGAGGGTGGCTGTTGGGAGGCGCCTCTCCGGATCCCACGGCCCGCGAGCCGAGGAGACTTCTCCACTTTGGTGAAGAGTGAAAACAAAGATCTGTGGCCAAGTGGGCTGAGTTTTAAAGGAACTGACGTGGCGCAGCAGGGAGCCAGCGAGACACAGGGATTTATTTATTACACTGTAATCGTTAGATTTAATTAGCTGCCAGCTGCTACGTTCTCACAGACCGTGGCATCGCCGGCTTGTTCCTTTGGAGCCGTGAAAGGAGGGAGGGACATGGGGAGGGACGGGGATGGACAGACGGGTGAAGAGGACGAGAAGGAGCAGACCGTCTCTGGGTGACGACAGAGGGAGCTGTTGGGCTTCGCTGCAGCCGCTCTGCTCCGTCTTCTGCTTTCTAATCCTTTCCAAACCCCCCCCACCTCCCCCACCTCCCCCACCTCTCTGGCTTTTATCCCTCTGTCTGTCTGTCAGAGAGATGGAGAGGTAGTTAGTCTTTCCACGGAGGCGAGATTCAATCTGCACACACACACACACACACACACACACACACACACCCTGTTTGGAGAAGCATGTCCACTATGAGGTTTCTGTTCCTTTGGGGGGGGTGGGGGGGGGGGTGTTCTTTCTTCTTCTTTCGTTGCTGCCCGTGTTCGCGAATGAATGTAACACCATGAATGAATGTAACACAATGAATGAATGTAACACGACGCGTGTTACACAATGAAGTGTAATGGGAGAGGACGGCTCTTTAAAGCTCGTCGCTAGCTGGAAGCCACGTTAGCGCCGTTGTTGCTCGTGTCCGCGTTACGCGTCTTACTTGCTTGCCGGTTTTTCCTAAACGTCCCTGTGACTCATTGATTTCACGTCCGTGTGCGCGTGTCTCCTGCTCAGAGGTAGATGACACGCTGATTCTACGTATCCCACGGCGGCCTGATGGGATTATATCTCTAATCTCCGGCCTCAGATAGATTAAATGACGGAGTCGGTTGTTCCGGTTTCTGACCTCTAATGTCTTAACTTGCCCACCTGGGAGACAGAAGGACAGTGGCTCATTTGTTTGCGTCGATTGAGGGGGGTCTTCTGCTGCTTGTGGGGCGCAGGTGGTCCTCTGTGGTTTACGCGGACTCTCTCTCTCTCGGGGCTCATGTGGATTCACTTAGTCCGCCTGCGCTCCACATTCCTGGGACTCGATGCAGCTCGCCGTTCATCTCGAAGCCGCCCGCGGGGGGGTCACGCCTCAGCTCGCCGACGTTAACGCCGGTTCTTTTACTGCTCTTCGGTTAGCCTGACCTTTGACCTCCGGCCCCACACATACCCACGCTCAGAGGGGAGCGGCGCGGGCCGCCTGGAGACCACGAGGAGGAGGAGCTCGGGTCGATGCCAATTCAGGACTAACGAGCAATTCCGTGGATTGGACCCTCGATGATGTGAGCGCGGCGCCGTCGATCCGATCGGAATGACAATTGATTACAGCAGATGGACGGCCATATTGATCTGAGCACCGCTGGTGTGTGTGTGTGTGTGTGTGTGTCTGCGCGGTACCTTTACCTTCTACAAGCGCACGGCAGTGTGCAGTGTAGACTGGCGTGTGCGCGCGTGATCCAGTGTGGCGTGTTTCCTGTGGCAGTCAGACGGTTTTCTGGTCTCATGACGGCGGTCACACGGGAGCAGGAGAAGCTTGTTGCTTGTTGTCTGCGCTGTGGCGGCGTTCTGCAGGAGAGAAGGTCAGACTTCCTCTCACGTACCAGACTCAGGAGCCTTCCCTCTCCTCGTCTGTTAAATCGCTCCAAATTACGGTCGCTGGATTTTCAGAGGTGCGTCTGTTTTAAAAACAATTAATAATTGACGGTGGAGAAGCTTCCGCTCCGACAGACTCTGGTTGCTCAGTAGAGTCAGTGAAGAAGAAGGCCGGTGTCTGCTCACGGGTCAAGGAGAGATTTAATGAGTCGTGCTTCTCATTATTCCCCATAATAATTAACTCTGTGTGTGTGTGTGTGTGTGTGTGTGAGCCACCAGTGATGTGGTCGTCCCCCCCCCACCCCCCCTCTCATCCCATTTTATATGATTATTGATTCATGAGATGTCTCATTCAGTCATTCCGTGCAGGAGAGAGAACACAAAGCACATCCATCACAACTTCACAGAGCTTAAAGCGACGTCCTCAAAATGCTCTTTGAATGATTATTTTACATCAACTCAACTCTTCCAATCCATCTCTCCCTCTCTCACCCCCACCCTTCCATCTTCCTCCATCTTTTAACTCCGCTAAGCCTGCCGCTGTGTGGACAACGCGCACACACACACACACACACATACACAGATTAGGGTGTGTACTTGTGTTGTCGATTACCATATTTAACTTGGTTATGTTGATTATAGCCAGTTAATTTTGCTGATGGAACACATTTGTAAAGGTGAACTCTTTTGCACAGTCGCGAACAACCAACAGTGTGTGTGTGTGTGTGTGTGTGTGTGTGTGTGTGTGTGTGTGTTTTATGTGTGTGCATTCCACGTCAGTGTTTGATTTCTGAACCACCTGTGAACATAATGTATTATATATTTTATGAAAGAAACTGAAGCTGATCAACCTGCCACGTGCACAGACAGACACACACACACACACACACACACACACACACACACACACACACACACACACACACACACACACACACACACACACACACACACACACTCATCTGAATAACAGCAGGTTCACACAGATGTGTCAGGGTTACGGGGAAGGCAGGACTCACACGCAGACTTTCAAACAAA